GTGGGGAGCGTCGATATGTCTCTGGGGATTAAGATGGGGGTCCAGTACAGGTGCGAGTTTCTTTTGAAAGCTTATTTCTGTTGCTAGATTTACATATTGCTTTGATGTTTGGTTCGCTGGATTTGGGATTTGGTGTAGTCCGCTGAATAATGGATAAGCATAGGTGTGCGTTTTTTGAACATTCACAATGTTCAGAGCCTATAAATGTGATTGTGTTTGTTATAAGTTATTGATGTATTTGTATACGTGATGTAGTGGAATTTTGCAATTGCAGTATCCGATATGGTGATAGCGGAGCTAGTACTATTTGTCAAAGTGAAATTGGTAATTTATTAAAGAAATAAGAGCCTTATTGTTGGCAGCTTATGTGATGATTTTGAGTCAAAGTGAAATTGGTAATTTATTAAAGAAATTAACCCTTGTAAGAGCTTCTTGTTGCCAGCTTAGGTGATGATTTTTAGTTGGAGTGAGAATTGAGATTATTCTTTTCGGGTCGAATGTGAGACCACCATAGAACCAAGCTTTCTGTCCCTTCTCATTCTTGAACACTAATAGTGATTGATGTATTGGACTTAATCACGATTTCCTGCATTACCTCATGCTTGCAACATTTCTATTACTTGTATGTGTCTTTGTTTCACCTTCTTCCTGAATTGGTCTGACTTATATTCTCAGTCTTTGGGGAGGCTCCGTGCTCAACTTGGGAACAAAAAAGCACAAAGACAAATACTTTGACGGTATAGACAATATGGAGTATCCAGGATGCTTTGCAATGACCGAACTTCATCATGGTAGTTTCACCTTCATCCTAGCATCCAAATTCTTACTCTATTTTTTGTCGTTTCACTGCGCTTAATTGTTCACTAGGAGCAGTCGAGTAAATTATACCGTCCATTTTAGCCCTTACAGGTACATGCAAGAAAACACCGTTTTTCTCAATGATTTGGGTTTNTTTCCCGAATAGGTTCGAATGTCCAGGGTCTCCAGACGACCTCGACCTTCGACCCGATCAAGGACGAATTCGTGATCGACACTCCGGACGACGGTGCCATCAAGTGGTGGATCGGCAACGCCGCCGTCCACGGCAAATTCGCTACAGTCTTCGCCAAACTCATCCTCCCCACCCACGACTCCCGAGGCTCCTCCGACATGGGCGTCCACGCGTTCATCGTCCCCATCCGCGACCTCAAAACCCACAAAACCCTACCCGGTGTCGAGATCCACGACTGCGGCCACAAAATCGGCCTCAACGGTGTCGACAACGGGGCACTCCGCTTCAAATCCGTGCGAATCCCACGCGAAAACCTCCTCAACCGTTTCGGCGACGTCTCGCGAGACGGGCAGTACACGAGCGGCCTTCCGTCCATCAACAAGAGGTTCGCCGCCACATTAGGCGAACTCGTGGGCGGGCGGGTCGGGCTCGCGTACTCGTCTGTCGGGGTTTTGAAGATTGCCGTGGTGATAGCGGTTAGGTACTCCCTTCTCCGCCAGCAGTTCGGGCCGCCGAAGAAGCCCGAGATCAGCATACTCGACTACCAGTCGCAGCAGCACAAGCTGATGCCGATGCTGGCCTCGACTTATGCTTTCCATTTTGCAACTTTGCATTTGGTGGATTTATACTCGGAGATGAAGAGGACCCGCGATGAGCAGCTGGTGGGGGACGTGCACGCGCTCTCGGCAGGTCTCAAGGCGTACGTCACGTCGTACACGGCGAGGTCGCTGAGCGTGTGCAGGGAGGCGTGCGGGGGACACGGGTACGCGGCTGTTAATAGGTTCGGGAGCTTGAGGAACGATCACGATATCTTCCAGACGTTCGAAGGGGACAACACAGTCCTCCTGCAGCAGGTACATCTTTTCTATTTTGACAAAAAAAAAAGGGAAAAAAGAGGATGTCTGATGTTTGTGCTTATTTTGATTCTGCCTCTTTCATTTGTTTGGTGAACTTAGTCTTTCATATCCTTGTGATCTGGCTCGATTTATACGGATGAAGAGTGGTTTTCGTCCGTTGGCATGGGGAGTGATCTATTGAGTTTCAGTCAAACCTTTTCTTCGTCTGAGCAGAAAAAAGAAAAAAAAAAAAAAATTATTTCGAAGTTGCAAGTACCGTTTTGATATTTACTTTAGTTCCATTTTGAAAATAGGGTTCAAGAGGTGGCAGGTCCATTTATGTTGTGAAAATACAAAGCTCAAGGGGGCTTATACTATGTTAATATGGTCTGTATTTTTGAAAGGTAGCTAATATCTTTTGAAATTAGGCTTCACCGTGGAGGTGGTCACAAGTCAACTATTTAAAACCGACTTATTGGTTCTTGGTGATGCTTATATGGCCTTAAATTGAGATAACCTGTTTAAAGAGACTGAAAAATATATTGTTAGTGTTTTTATCTTGTCATAATTGCTATAATATAAAATATCATCCCTGAATGTAGGTAGCAGGTTATCTCTTGAAGCAGTACCAAGAGAAATTCCAAGGTGGCACTCTCACTGTCACTTGGAATTACTTGAGGGATTCCATGAGTTCTTACCTGTCGCAGCCCAACCCCGTGACTTCCAGATGGGAAGGCACAGACCATCTACGTGATCCCAAATTTCAGTTGGACGCCTTCAGGGTAACTACTATTATCATACAGCTCTATCCGAAAGACCCTTTTCTTTTTGTGCTATTAAAAGAAACAAAGTTAAACGAGGGAGGGTTTTTTATTTTGGTTTTCTTTTACAGTATCGTACTTCTCGGTTACTCCATAGTGTGGCCGTTCGACTACGGAAGCATACGAAAAGTCTTGGGAGTTTTGGCGCTTGGAATCGGTGTCTCAATCATCTCTTGACACTTGCTGAGTCCCATGTAGAATCCGTTATTCTAGCAAAATTTATTGATGCTGTGCGAAGGTAAAATTCCTACTGTGAGGACTTTTTTTATTTTTTATTTACACCTTGGAATTAGTAGCCGAATTTTGACTTGTATCGTCTGTTCCAGCTGTCCTGACCCAGGTTCTCGGGCTGCTTTGAAACTTGTTTGCGACTTATACGCCTTGGATCGTATTTGGAATGATATTGGGACTTACCGAAATGTTGACTATGTTGCTCCAAACAAAGCTAAGGTAGATAGATACTCTCATTTAATGACTGAGACAGTAGCATCATCAGCGGAAAACTATAAATTCAAAAAAGATTGCAATTTTTTGGTTGTCGTGAAAACCAGTGTTGCTTGCTTTAGAATCCTGATTCCACTGTTGGTTTGATTTCATTTCATGCAGAGAGATATTTTCTTGTTTTGTTTTTTCTTCAACTTGTAGTCATTCTTCCTCGAGTTATATTTGGATTTCAAGTGAAATAAGAAACAACTTTCATTTTCTTGCTCATACCTTCATTCTTCTGTTGTGATGAATGACTTGTACGCAACTTTGTTCAAGTGCAACTAATGCCATTCTTGTATCTTGCAGGCTATACACAAGCTGACCGAATACCTAAGCTTCCAAGTGAAGAACATAGCAAAGGAACTTGTAGACGCATTCGATCTTCCAGATTACGTGACGCGTGCCCCAATCGGAAAGCAGGCTGCTGAAGAGGCTTACTTACACTACACTCAGTTTGCTGGATTTTAACAATCAGTCCACAGAGAGAGAGAGAGAGAGAGAGAGAGAGAGAGAGAGATGTGGTAATCCTCTTAGTATCATTTATTAGAAATACGGGGAATGCTGGAACTAATACGTCTACTGCAGGATTACTGTAAGGCAAAGTTGCTTGATTCTTAAATGCAACCAACAAATAATTTAGTCAAATGTACCCACAATAGAAGTGTGATGCATTATGTTCGATCAAATAATCAGATTTGCGCGTGTTGGACAAGTATTTGCAAGGCACAAGGCATACGAAGGGACCATAAGAATAAAATCAAATCATATTGCAAAGTTTAGGAGTCGGACCTTGGGAAAGCTCATTACAAAGATGAATTCCTACACTTTTGAGAATTATTTGATCGTGATTCAAATATTAAATGACTTTCATTATGCATTTTATACATGGTTTTGAATATCGAATCGGTCTCGGACTAGTGGTTGAACCAATTGGACCGGTATTTAATATATTAATATTTTTAAATATATATTTATATTATATATTAAATTTTATATATAAAAACATAATTAATTAAATACTAGTAAATATCCTGTGCACATGCACAAATGTACATAAAATATTATAAGTAAGAGAATTTAATATTAAAATTTTAGATAATGAACATATTACACTTTTTAAATTTAATCATTAGGAAAAATAAATTAATGATTGTTTATTATATTATTATTATGAACAATTGTTTATTATCATTAGATAATAGCAGTTTGATTATTATTATTATTATTATTATTATTATTACAAAAACAATTGTTTATAAGATTCTAATGTTGTTTGACTATGCTATTAAAACAATTTACTAATTATTTTTAAAGAAATTTTTTCATGAGATACAAAAGAAAAAGATAATATTGATGTTAAAACAAATAACTTGAAACAATTGTTTATATTTATGAAATTTATATTTATTGTGAATCATTATTAGTTGGTATTAGCATTAATTATTATATAATATAATAGAAAAATACATTATTACACTCAATAGGATGTATTAATGTGATAAGTAGAAAAATATTAATGATAAATTTTGTAACCGAAAATGGAGGAAAAATTTTAGAAGTTTTATTAAATAGATTTTCTTAAATGCTATTAGCCAGTAATTATATACATATAGATTTAGAGAATTTAAACATTTAAATACTTAAACTTATTCATTAATAGTTTATAAATATCCATGATAGGCAAAGGCTATGAGATTAAACATGTAGTTTATTATTCATTCTATATTAATATTTTAGTTTTCTTGATCTCTTACATACTAAAATAACAATCTAGATAATATAATTTTAGATAATTCAATCTAATTATTTATGTATTGAAAATAGATTAAAATTTATTCAAACGAAATAAATTATCAGTTATCACATATGAACATTGAGCACACTCGAGAATAAATGGGATATCCACTTGCTAACCTCTCAAAAGAAAAAATCCATTGAAAAGGTAGGCCTTTCTGTACATGGCGCATAAATTTTAGACTTTGAAAGAGGGAGAGAGGGCGGGCATCCTTTTCGCCTCTACAACTCATTTTTTCGCGAAGTTATATAATTTCCCGCTCATTCGCCACTCCATTCAGATCTTCATTTTTTTCTACAGAGAAGCACCGTACGTTCATCCTCCACAAAGGCCAGTTCAAATGTTCAATGCTTGTCCGCCCCGCACCGTAGATCTGGTTTCCTAGTTAAGTTTTATATTTTGCTTCTGTAGATTAATCATTAGTTAATTTCCCCCTCCCCCAATTTTTATGCTTGTAGTATGTATTCGTATGAGCTGGGTTTATAAAATTCGTGTTCGTGAACCAGGATGCTGGAATTTAATCGACGCCCAGAAAATCAATGGTTTTCAATTTGCCTGAATTAAGTGATAATTTTGATTAGCTCGTGCTATCAACATATTTTGAGGTTTTGGTAATGGCTGAGGAAAATGTTTCTGATGGGTTTACTAAAAGGAGGAAGGTCCTTGGTGACCTCACTAATCTACTTGGGAAAAGGGGGTCTTCTGGGACTGAAAATATTGGGGTTAAGAGTTTGAGTTTTAGGGACAAAGATTCATCCAAGCGTATCCATGTTTCATGTGCCCCACAATCTGAGATGCATTCTCCAAAAGGGAATGTTTTATCGAGTATCCCAAATTCAACCGACAAAAACACGAATGCAGAAGGGAATCAATTTGGGTGTGAATCTGTTTCCAAGATCTCGAGCAATGTCGAAACTGAAATCAATAATGATGGTTTGTTGAATGTGAATCTACCGGCTGGTGAAAATTTTGAGGGCCCGAACTCGACTGATCTGAAAGGGGAAAAAGTGATGATGAGTTCTACTGCTGCCACTGAGGTGAATGTTATTCCTGAAATTTGCCAGAGTGAGTTTGTCGGTCTTAAAGTAAACGTGAAAGACCTTCAGATAAATGAAAGTGGTCAGGCTGTGCCAGGCAGCTCAAAAGAGTCTAAGGGGAATGTTGTTGAGAATGCCGGGTTTAAAACCGATGATGAGTTGCATGATAGTTTAAAGGCAGCGGCTGAAATGGGTGGCTTTTGTCTGGATAATGATAGTGGTTTTGATGATTATGAGTCCAAAGGAAGTCAAAGTGATGGGGATGGACAAAATTTGTTGTTGAGTCAGTGTGGTTCAGTCGATTGTGCTAATTTTCTACCCGAGTCTCAGGAATCTACTGTATTTGGGATCGAGAAATTTATGGAGATGGAGAGTGGGAATGAGAAATGTGTGTGTGAGGGAACTGAGCCAACAAGAAGTTGTTCTTGCTCTTTTTGCACAAAAGGTATCGTGTTTTATTTGAGAATAACTCTTAGGACCGTTTTTCCATTTAAAAGAGATAAGGGGAAAAAAAAAAGAAAAAAAAAATTAAAAAATGGCAAGGAGCAGTTTGTATTACATTCCTTTGATATTTTAGGATGATTTAGTCTGGATAATGTATTGAATTGGTCCCATTTTTTCTTTTTACATTCAGCTGGATATATGTGGTTGGACCTCAATTACCAGGACATCAAGGCCCGGGTATCAGGTTAACGGGTTTATACTGTTATAAAACTTGCTGACTAACTTCAGAAAATTGCAGAAGACAATAATGATTCACCCTTTTAATTACTATTTTCTGCCTATACCTTGCTTTAAATTGTTTAGCACTAAAGAAGAGCCAGAAAGAAGCAAGAATACTGGCTGAAGGAATTATCAGGAGTAAGAATATCGAGAGACATGGTGCTGAAAGCTTCACCCGGTCTTCTACGTTAGAATCTGATCTCATGTACCAGTGGGTGTCTCTTTTTCAACACATGGCAGGCGTAATGGAAGAAGAGAGTAATCAGCTTGTAAGTCTTTTCTTCCTTTATATGTTTAATAGTAGTTCCTGAATTGAAGAATTAGATTTTGGACATCTCAAGGGACAATGCGTTTTTCTGAGAGGTGTGAGCGTGCTTAGCTTATGAAATGGTATGGGTCCTAATNNTTGGTTATTTAATTTTAAGGTGCATCATATGTATTAAATTTCTGTTAGCTGGCAAATATTATTATGTGCTCCATATATATTTATTATATATGATAAATATGCAAATGCTGCATACAATTAATTTTTTATGGCTATATCAAGTACTGATGCATTTTTTCTCGGAATGTTTATGGGCCTTCTTCATAAGCGAATGATGTGCTGCAAACCATTAAGGGTCCATCACAACATTCAAAATGGGCACTCAAATTTCATAAGCAATCTTTTATAAACAAGTACATTGTCTCTGCTCTCTTGTGAGGAAAATTTCATGTAGAGAGAGAAATGTTCCTGTAAGTTCTGAAAGCAAATGGACAGTCAGAAGAAGAAAATAAAATGGATTGTGTATGAACAACTTGATTTGCAAATCTTTAATTTAATTTGGAGATAGTTTGCAATTAGGTTTCTGTATTTCCAGTTTGGGCAAAACTAGGATTAGTAAGAAAAAGCTAAAGATCACGTTCACTGGTTGTCATTTAAAGGAGAAGAGATTTTAAGTACACTGTTATATGATGCATGAATGAAAGTACCAACCCTTTTTTTTAGCCAAAGCAATCAAGTCTGAGTTCTAGTTTGATAATTTGTTGGTTTGTTGCAGGAAGGTAGATTACTACCACTGAACGATTTGAGGGAAAAATACAAAAGAGATTTGGAGTCGATTGGTGATGAAAGGTCTGAAAAACAGTAAGATGAATGAAATTTCTCGACTTATCCGTTAATGGTTTGAGGTCCACAAATTTTGACAGTTCAGTTATATGCTATGTAATTTTTATTGTTGGTCCTCTTTTAAATTGTTCCTAAATAGCTATGCTTGTGAATACTGGGTTTCGCAATCCTCAAGATCCTGTTCATGTTATTTGCTTAAAGACAGTTCTACGCTACTCAATCATGAGCTTAGACAAGGGTTTGTATTATTATTTTGTTGCTCTCGAAGTCCATACTTACTAAACTTATATCTAGGCAGTGCCTACAAATTAATTATTTAATCTTTGGACATTACCGCATCATGATTATGTTTAACTTAAAATCTCGTTACAAAACCTAGTGAAAAAAATTACATGACATGTAATTCCATTTGTTATACTTGTTGCCTCGCTAAAAAATTTGCAAAGTAAAACCTATAAGGGTAAAACATTTAGCCAAGATAAAAAGAGTATATACAATTGCCATTATGACCTAATCTTTAGGATTACAATTGGCGTTTTGGACTTGCAAAATTGTAGGGAAAATTGCAAAATCAACCATAAGGTTTAACTTGGCCATAAGAAATCTCTACCATTTTAAATTCATATAATTAATAATTTAGCATTTACGTAGAAATATGTTATTTTCTAACTTTATGAAATACAAAATTAAATAATTATATTTAATTACTATATTCTTATATATTTACTATTTTAAATAGCATAATAACATTCATTTTTTCTAATAATCAATTTAAATTAAGAAATAATATTTTATAATATTTCTTAAAATTTATTTTATGTAATATTTAGTTTTTATTTTTTATTCAAAATTTATGGAAAAAGACAATAAAATGATTATTTCATGATGTATTAATAAAATAGATTTTTATTATTTTTATAAAATAATTCATATTGTTATACGATGTTTTTCAAATTGAGTTGATAATAAAATTAATTTTATTTATAAATATACTGAAATTATTTTTTATTTTTAATATGTAATATGGATGTCAAATATGATTATTTTGGTGGATCATATATAAAAAGTAAAATACAAATAAAAAAGTTATAAAGTTTTAAAAATAAAAAAAATACATATTTATAATAATTAATATATGAACTAAATATAAAAGGTAAGAGTAGTATAAGGTAACTTCAGAAAAAAGAAAAGTTAAAATAGTTTATGGTCATTCTTAAGTTTAATAGTCAAAACCAAAATTGAACATGCGTCAATACGGAGCATCAATTTATGACAAATTAGCTTACGAAGCACGCGAGTCTGCCACTTAAGCGAACGCATTCGAAAATTATATATAAGAGCGATTACATTCCTTATCTGCGATTCATTCAAATGTAATGAATAAATCATTGAGGTTAAAAGATGATTTACAATTGTGCAAATTATTCGTCGTAACGTGTATTGTGCTTGTGTTACTGCAATTTTATAAAGTAAAATGCATCTCCATCGGTTTTTCTGGACTACCATATCAATAATTACTCTAAAATCAAATAATTTTGCCAGTTCATCTTCATTGTTTCTTGTTGGCCTATTCTATCCTATTTTTGTAGGTTGTTCAGGAAAGTAAAACGGTACGTCCTTTTTAATTAAAAAAAAAAAAATAATCTAAATTCCGTCTTCGAGTTGCTCTTATCAGCCATTCTTCGCTTTCATTATCATGACATAATGGTTAATTTTATTTAATTGTTTATGCATTTTATAAATATGAGATAAGAATGAAAGATGACTTGGATGGCAAAAGAAAATGAGAATTATAACATATCTTCATGGCCACGTCAATTGCAAGTCACCTAAATTCATCATATGCCAGCATAAGCATTATAGATTTGAGGTTCAATAGGTTGACATTTAGCATATAATAGACCCTCCACTAAGTGCATTGACTTTTTCGAATTTGAATGTGATTTTGGGGGTAACGTTGTTTAATTTAATATACAACTGTCATGACCTCAGGTCAACTGTTCCCATCTTTCTCTAACCTCCATTTCAGGAGTTCTATTTGAGATAGCTTTGACATTTTTTGAGAGTAACACAAGTTAGTTATTATTATTATTTTTTTTAATAATGTTTAAATGTTTTATTGAATTGTTTGGTTCTTAATTGATAAAATTGGCAATATAACGTAATGTGGAAGTCTAATGTAGCAACGGTTAAACGAACCAAAATGCCTCGCTTTGTGGAAAAGTTATGTAGGGCATTGACATATGGAAGTCAACTGCATCTAATTAATGGCTCAATATGTCCTTAGTTTGGACCAGAAATTAAGTTCATTGATTAGGGTCGGTTCAACTAACAATTGCTAATTGTTTTTTAACTATCCCTATAAAAAAATTGTGGTTATAAACACATTTTGATAAAATTATTAATGGTGCAAAACTTCAATTACCACTAACTCGAAAAGCCTAAAGTCCTACTAGATAATCTAATAAATTTTCAATCTTGATCACAAAATAGGCTAGTTAGATGACTCATTTCACAAAAATGAAACACTTGGGCCATCTCCGCAAATTACAACTCCACGGTATCCTAAATATTATATGTAGTCTTAATGACATCAAATTGAACTCTATTCTAGCATAATTTATTTTTTGTGGGAATTATACATAAAGCTTACAAAAGTTCTGTCCTCGTTTTCTCGCCTGAATAATTAATATTTAG